ATATGGTATCTTTCACCGAAAGGCCTAAAAAAGCTTATGTAAAATAGTTACGCATTGTACCATTTTCCAAATGGGAAAACAGACATAGTGACTTGCCAAGGTTACACAAATCCAGCACAATTGGGAGAAGTACCCTCAAATTCTGTCTGTCAGTCCTATACTTTGCCATTGGGTGATGTCAGAATGGCGAACCATGAACTAAACAACAAATCCTTTCAGCTTTTTCACCATTTTTTGTAATCGTGGTAAAAGCATTTTTACACATGCTCTTGGACATGGCGCCGGGCACTTTAACTAGCGAGCTGTGCTAATTAAAAGCACCTGTGCATCACATGCATCAGCAACCCCACGCTGAAAAAGTGGCGGTGCAGTGCTTTGAACTAAAGCTTATTGGATGTGTTTTATTTCAAAGTGCCCTGCCACCATTTTGTCAGAGTGGAGATGCACCATAACGCTGATGCACAAGGCTGCTGGAGCGCATCAATTTCCATGCTCAAGCAGACTCAATTAAGTGAGGCTGCCCCAATGCGCTGGATTTCCAGCGCATCAAAGCAGGCTCCCCGCATGTGTGTAGGAGCCCAAAGCTTATTGAGAAGATGGGACTCTGGAATGTGCACTATATGCAGAATCTCAGGATAAATTAACTAAAACTTGGTTCTTGCTATCACTTTACCTATTAAATTTCTATAATTTAAAACTCCAAATATTTTGGACTATTTTCTCAGATACCATCTCCAAACATGTACTCTCTCTTAAAATAGCAACTTGCAAAAGAAAAACCATGAAAAAATAAAAATATGCTAAGGATGATATAAGTGCCTTTATTATGGGTTACTAACAGGTATTTTAAGTAATCTATTTCAACTAATAAAAACTAATAAATTAGCCATGATTTATTAGAAATGTACTGGAGGGGTTAGACATTTCTGTAATAATTTTTCTGTTTAAAAAAAAGAAATCAAACCTATGTTTCTCTTAAAAATGCAAAAAGGTAACTGTAAATGATAGAGAAATCTAAAGGAGAGTACCTAACATCCATTCCACAGATGTCCAAACACTAGTTGCTCTGAAATATTGGTTGGAAAGAATGATTTAACTGGAAAAAATGTTAATAGGCCTGCTTTCTTCACCTCAACATGATCAAGATGTTCTTAGGTGTTAAATAAAATAACATTGTGACCTGTCCTTTATACAACATTTCCAAACAGTGTCTGAGCTACAGCATAAAGTTAACTCCTATCAGGGGAATAAGGAATGGCTTTACCATTTGAAAAATTAGTCAACTATAATTTACAGTACTAGAAAGCTCTGTACAAAAAACACTGAAGATAAACATTTCATTCCACAATTTGTCTTCTGAGTATGCTTGCCAACAAGGCTGATTAGGCACAAATTTTACAGTCAACAAGAATTAGGTGATCATACCTATCTGATGTTAAAACAACAATAGCACAAAGATGGATTTGTAGGCACTCTCAGCTGCCACATATCTTTCACTTTGATTTAAGAAATGTCTCTGGCTGTTAGTCTATTTCTTCTAACAAATGCAGGGTAAGCGAGGCATATCTTTTCCAGCACAATACTAAAGGTTTTTAAAGAAGTCCTTGATGTGATCTGCGAGCTGCTCAACTTTGAAAGTATTTGAAGAACTCAGACACTACTTTCTACTTTCCACTACATATGTGCTACTGAGTTAACCACAAGGGACAGGGTTGTCCAGAAAAGCTAACGACACAACTTAATATTAGATGTCTGTGGGTAGTGTGAACAATTTTCTCCTTTTTTTTTTTTTGTTTTTAAAGGTTTAGCTTTACTTTATACAGAATAGGAACCAATGTAAAGGAAAAGGGGCGCTTCAATTAAAGCTTATCAGAAGAGCTTTAACTCAAGTAT